ATAACTATCTTAACTGTTTTTATACATGTACATACACAGATACATGTATTATCTTTCAGCTTGTCACACTAATGAAACAATACAATGTTTACATGTGTGTCTTATTTCACTGAGTATGTTATGAAAACACAATTTTTTAAAAATTTTATTTTAAAGAAAAAACATTTCAAAACAAGATGATAGAGTAATAATGGTCAATACATTGTGTATTGTCATCTTTAAATTAGTTACTCAGAGGACAATAGGCATTTAATTGTCCAAATCGTATTAGCACAAACCTTTTCTTTCAATGAACTAAGAGAAATTAGTAGTATAACTATCTTAACTCTCTTGTATATATATATATATATATATATATATATATATATATATATATTATTTGTTTTTGTTTCAGTTTTCGTTCTTCCTTACCTTTTTTCCTCCTTTCCCCATCCCAGTTTCTCCTCTCTTTTCTTTTTGTTTGAACCAGGGATCAGACTCATGACCTCGCACCTGCCAGGCAGGCATTTATGCCACTGAGCTAAATCCCCAGCCCAGTTTCTCTTTTCTTCTGAACAGTGTCTTCCCATTTTACAATCCCTAGTGTACATTTTGGATCTTATTAACTCTTTCAGCATCTCATACCGAGAGACACTATGATGTTTACACATGTGAGTCTTGTTTATTTCACTTATGAGTATGGTCTTGAGTTGCTTCTGTTTACCTGTAAAAGTCTCCAATTTATTCTTCTTTGGCTGAATAGTACTCCATTGTATAAAACACCACATCTTTATTATCCATTCCTTGGTTGATGGGCATTTGGATTGTTTCCAAGATCTGGCTATTACAAATTGTGCTGCTATAAACATGGGTGCAGATATATCACTGTGGTATGGTGTTTTTAATTCTTTCAGGAAGATACCTGGAAGGGGAAATAGCTGGGACCTCTAGTCCTAGTTTTTTAGAAATCTTCACACTGATTTCCACAGTACTGTACCAGTCTACAATTCCACCAACAATAGAAAAGGGATCCTTTTTCCTCACACCCTGCCAGCATTTGTTATTTGCTGACTGCTTAATGATAGCCATCCTCTGGAGTGAGATGGAATCTCAGTGTTGTTTAATTTGCATCTCTGGAATACCAGTGATGCTGAACATTTTTCGCATATTTATTTGCTGTTTGTATTTCTTCATCTGAGAAGTGTATATTCATCTCAGATGCCTATAAATACACAAGATCTTCAAGAATAGATCTTTAAGTTTGGGTGATTTTTTTGAAGAGAGCTCAATTTTTAAAATTTACAGTAGAGTCTCCCGTTTTCTAAAGCATGATATAAATGAAAACAAACCATAATATCAATTGTTTGCTATATAATCACCTTAATGTTGCAGAGATAAGCTTTGTAAAAAGATTACATATTCATGTATGTAAAACATTTGTAATTAATGTATATATTTGATTCTCTAAAGCCATTGGCATAAAATTGAGTATAATTCTAATTTTTTCATAAATATGAATTACTTGACTTTATTCAGGCATGTACAATTGTTACCCTATTTCTTCAACGATGTGTGGTTAAAAGATCTAACTCTATTTGAAAAGAAAAACATGATTTTGTTGCAAGTACACAGCATCTTACATAACTCAGGGTTCATGGTGGGAGGGATGGGAGTGATTAAAACAGTTGTCCCCTGAAATTAAGCACTATTTTATTAAACTGGAAGGGCATGTTGCAGCTGGGCATGGTGCTGGATGCCTATAATCCTAGAACTCAGGAGGCTGAGGCAGGAGGATTATCAGGAATTCGAGACCATCCTGGGCTACATAATGAGCTCAAGCCTAGTCTAAACTATGTAGCAAGACCCTGTCTCAAAAAAAAGTGTGTGTGTGTTTGTTTACTGGGAAATGAATCCAGAGCCTTGTGCATACTAGGCAATCACTCTATCTCTGATCTATACTCCCAGCCAGTCCTCAATTCTTATTACGATGAAAACACCTGTGTTAGTCAGAATAGACTAAGCTATGCTGCAGGAACAAATTATCTCCAAGGTCTAGGATGTGGTGGTGAACCTATGGACGTTGTATTGTTCTTTTAAGACAAAAGACATTAATGTATGAGTTATTTTTTTGAAACTAAAACCTCAACGTTAAGGTTTAATTGCAATATTGGTACTTTGCAATGAGTAAGTGGATTTGGGGTTACAGTTTGTGTACCCTAAAAGACTCATCATCTAGGGGTTTATTTAACACAGGGGCTGTCACTCACTCGTAAGCAAAAAGCTCTGCTCCTCATGGTCCTTTAGAACCTCAAGCTGACAGAGTCTTTATCTTTCCACAGTTACCATTTCAGGGGAAGAAAGAACCTGAAGAATGCTCACATGTTCTGCTTATTTGCTAGAAGTGACACCATTAATTCTGCCCACAACCCTTGAATAGAACTAGTCACCTAACAACTGAATGGCAAGGAGCAGGAAAATGTGACGAGCACAAACATCTTGAGTGTTAAATATCTCTGCTACAATTCTCAACTCAAATACCTACCTCCTTGCCCTAAGACCACAGAATACAGAGGGAAGACTGGACTGTGGGGTCAGACTGCCCTGGGTTTGACCCCCAGCTCTACCTCATACTATTCGCTTGACTTGGAGCAAATCACTCTGTTTCTCTTATCCTTAGTTTCTTCACCTGTAAAATGGAGATAGCAACACTCACCTGGTAGAAGTGTTGCAAGGATAAGAAACAATTTATGCAAAGTCTTTGACACAGTAATACTTGGTGATAATTATCACAAGGAAGACAAGCAAATATTTAAGACAGCAGCAATTCAGCACTGCCAGACATGGGGAGCTATCTCACGGAGTGCTGTAACATTTCCTGAAGGCTCTCCAATCAAAATTACTGAATATTTCCTTTACTTAATAAATTCTCTACAGGTTATTAAAAGTAGAATTCATACTGACATCACTCTGGGCATATTAGGAGGGAGGTGAAGTTTTTCCTTATTATGCAACCTTTGCTCCTTTTGTGACAGCCTCTCCCCTACCCCAGCCCCCAGGCTTTGGATCAGCTTGGGTGTGAATCCCATCTTAGTCACTGTCTTTTTGTTAGGTAAGCATTCTGAGCTCCGTCTTTCTCATCTTCCAAGTTGATACAATCATGACTACTTCAAAGGATTGTTTATAGGCTCAAATAATGCAGGTAAAAATCCTCTGCACTGTATAACTGACTGACCTTGGATTTAGTTCCTTATGATTATCCCTGCACTTCAGAGGATCAATTCTTTAAAAAAAAAAAAGGGGCTACGTGGTAGGCAAGTGCTCAGTGACAGAGCACTTGCCTACCATGTGCAAGGTCTTGTGTTTGATTCTTAGCCCCACATAGGGGGAAAAAAGCAGAAAAAGAAAGAAAAAATAATGAAACCCCAAAAGAAAAAACCAAAAAATCAAAACGTGTACTTGTTAGTGGAAAGACAGAAGGAATTCACTGGCTTTTCCTCTTCTTCATTAGAACTCGTAGTACTAAAGTCAAAACCACACGAATATTGGAATTTGGGGTATCTAATGCTGGGTTAAAAAAAACTGGGACAAAAGTAATGGGGTCCTGTTTTGAGTTCCAGAATTTCATGTTCTCACAAGGCTGACTTTTGATTTTAACAATAGACACAGTTAACAATAGATGCTGTTTTAAAGCATATTCTGTCTATTCTAAACTGAAAGGCAAAAAATGGAATGCAATGACCTTTTAGGTTAGTGCCTTGCTCTGTTTAAACTAGTTAATATTTCTTGCTTGTGCTAATGGGCAAAGTCAATGTATTTTATAAGGGTGAAGAAACTCTTTACTGATGACCTGGGATTCTCCAGGATTGTAACCTGTCCTAGAACAAAGCCGATTCATAATTCTGCTAGGTGGGGCAAGGTATTACATTTTCAGTCTTTCTTGCCAACTCCTTCCTGCATTTAACTAAACTATGTGGAAATCTTTGGAGAATCTTAGAACTCTCAAGCTAATGCATACTCTTAAATTTCTCCTGTCTCAACTACTTCATTTTTCAAAGGCCCAAAAGAGGAAAAGAACTTACAAAAGTTCTACAAAAGTTACAACCAGGCTGAGACCGGAATTCAGTTTCCTTGAACCCGTCTATTTTGATGTGTGAATTTTTCTGTTTCCTTTTTCCTAGCTGTCATTGCCCGAGATCTGCTTTTTTCCTTAGTCCTTTTGCTTCTACGAAGTCATATAAACGTCCAGATTTTCATAATCATCCTTTCTTTATCCTTAAAGTATTTTACAGGGCTCAAAATTCTACTTTGAAAAATCCCAAAAGAAGAGATATAATCTTGAGGCTCCCCCATAAAAAAACTTTGCTAGGACCTCCAAGAAGACAGAGCAAACTGTAAGCCACAATCTTTAGCTCTCTGTCTGTCTCTCTTGCTGTCTCTCCCACCTTCTGTCTTTCCCTCCTTCCCTCCCCCCTGCCCCACTGTGGCATATTTAGCTACTGCAATAGTGATTTAAAAAACTGGCGGTGAGGGCTATGGATGTACCTCAATGATAGGTGCTTGCCTAGCATGTGCAAGGCACAGGGTTTGATTCCCCATCACCCCCACCACCAAAACAAACAAACAATAACAACTACAAAAGGAAAAAAACTATGACCAAGGTAGGGCACAGCCAGGTGGTTCTGGCCCGGGCTACCTCTTCTTTAGCTCATCCCAGTTGTGTATGAAAGAGAAACATAGACTTAGATGGGAGAAAAATATGAAAAAAGAATGGAGGGGGAGGAGGAGCCCGTGATAAATTATAATCGATCTGAAGTTGACATATACGGGAAGAGTACAGACTGAGTCATAATAACAGCTAGATCGATGCAAAGGAGCTATTGAAAAAGAGGCAAAGGACACTTGCAAAGGACGAACTGGCCAGACCTGCTCCCCTCTTCCTCCCACATTACCACACCGAGCTCACAAATTTTGTCACGGTGTCAACGTCGGCATGATGATAAAAATAAAGACTTACGTGGAAATTTTCATAACACTAAATTTATTCCATGTAAAGGAATGTTTTATATTCTGAGATTTTCTTTTTTCTTTTTTTTATCCTAAAACTTTTCTTGTACAGAAAGAATGTAAAAGTGATCATTGATATTTTTTGGAATATTCCCTGGAAAATTTCACTCTCTGTGGCTCCCCATTTTAGTTTTTTTTTTTGGTATTGCACTGGTTTTTTTGTTTGTTTGCTGTTTGTTTTTTGGTACTGGGATCAAACACAACCTCACACTTGTCAGACAGGCACTTATGCCACTGAGCTAAATCTCCAGCCCATAGTATTACACTGATTTGTGGAACTCGATTATCTGCTAATCTTTTACCTAGAAAAATACAAATCAAATAGTACATGATTCCCCATTTATATGAAAGAAATCTCAATTAATTAACATATTCTTTAAGAAGAAGACTTAACAAAATCTCACTTTTCATTTTAAACAGCTCTCTCCACAAAATTGTTCTATAAGCATATCATGTTAGACACAACAACTACTGTTAAAGGATTAATGAAACACTTCTTCATAACCTCTGACAATTTGACAGGAGTATATTTAATAACAGCAATAAATACAGATGGAACTGCATACATCGAAGATGTACGCAGTCCTGATGTAAAACTCTTCCTGTATTAGATGGTGTTTCAGCTTTTTCATCTGAAATGAATCAAGAAATTAATTATAATGATTATAATTATAATAGTGAAAAAATTTAGATCAAAATCCAGCCTCTCAGAACACCTTCATTCTTGTTACCTGCTGCCCCCTTCATGTATGTTGGGCTGGGGAGCTGACAGACTAAAGGAAAGCTCCAAAGAGAAAGGATATTCAGGCTGAAGGACCTGACATCGTTGGGAAAGAATGCTACAGCCGTGACTTCCCTCCAGGGTAGGCCTCTTACTTGCTCCGTGTGGCAAGCAATGCAGTTGCATAAGCATCGGTTAAACTTGTTTAGAGTAGGCTTAAGACCCGAAGGTGTTCTCAGTTCTAGGCAAGCTTCCAACCTGTCTTCCTCCTAAAGTGGAGGCAGATTCTCCTCTGCTCTCTGTTTTCCTCCAAAACCCTTCACCTTTCTCTGCATGTCGCATCTCAGGAGTACTCACAGGGCTGTATCTCTATCAGGGTCTTTCTTCTTTATGCAGAGCTGAAAGCAAACACAGTAAGAGTGATGAATTTGCCTGCTTTTCTGAGGCCCACAGATACACACTGTGAATGGATCAAAGCGGCTTAGGGAAGGTGCTGGGCAAATATAGTTATTTCTGTGCTGGCTCAGGTCTCATTTCTTTGGTCACATTACTAGCTTTTATTGAACTTGGAGAAGATGTAATTCTTAATCAGCTTGCTTCCATGCTTAGACAGTGGGTATTTCTGTTTTCAATAGCAAAAATGCTTTGGATTGGAACAGAGTGTAGACTGAACCTCTTGCCCTGAATAATACTGAGTTACGTACTGCAAGAAAGATGACCCTGGCTGAATGATGAACGCAGCGGAGTGGCTTTTGTTTAGAAGCCACTCGGCTATATTTACCCTCCTTTAGCACTGAATTAACTGGCAGAGTCAAACACGGTATTAATCTACGCATGCACATACACTGGATCACTTTAGCAGTAAGCTTAACCACTCAGCAACTCGACTCCAGCCCACTCCAGCCAAGGCATGTGTCTGGACTCACGAGGTGAGCGTATGGATCTCCAAATCCAGCCCAGATGTTCTGCATGTTTACTTATTGAATCACACACCATAGTAACAATAAAGAGAAATTTTCAAGGAAGAAAAATCAACTCCAAATTTCCTACCCCTAACACCAGAGCTATTTTGATTCAGGCCTCGCTCATATTTACTTACATTTTTTGAAAAGTTATACTCATAATATGTGTATAACTTTTATTCTCATGAGCAATTTTATTTGATTTTCAGTGCTTAAAACTCAAGCACACTTTTGCATGTGTGGTGTGCACCCTACCACTGATCTATACTTCAGCCCTTCACATTACTTTTTACCACAAATGTCCTGAATGCTTATTACCTTCATCATCCTTTCCCTTCGTGCAAACAGTCCAAAGCACAATGTCAGGAAGACAACAACACATGCAGCAATAATGGCTTCTGTTGGCACAGGTGTAGATTTATCTGCAAAAATGGAAGAAAAATGAACATTTAGATGCTCCTAAATCATGTGCTTCTACTATGTCCTACACATGATACCTTGCACTTAACTAAACCTTTACCAAAGATCGGATGGTGTTGTCCTCACTTCACAAGTGAGGAATTAGGGGATCTGGGAGATTAATTTACTTGTCCTAAGTCACACGCAGTACAGAGGCAGGCTTTGAATTCATTCCTTTGTGAAAGGATGTACTGTATTATGAATAACTCCCTCAAAGAAAGTAGATAATTTTGTGCTTTCCTAAACCACTATGTTTGCTACACAAAAACAGAAGCAGGTTAGAGTCAATGGTTTTTCCCATTTTTTGAAAGGCCCAAAGTACATTAAGAGGTATCCTAAAGGGAGAAAGAGAGGGAGAATAGATTTGAAAACCAGAAGACAGAGATGGACAGCTTCCTGAATTAAGAAGGAGAGGTTTATGGGCTCTAGGAATAGTAAGAATGATCACTGATTATACCTCTACTGAGACAGTGTCCCAGCCAGTGACCAGAGATTTTAGAAAGTTTCATCATGGTGTCCTTAAGGGAAACTTCCAGCACTAGCCTTCCCAGCATTGGCAAAGATTTCTCATATGCTTTAAATGATCATGGAAGCAGCTACTGTTTTTTTTTCTTCCAGTATTAGACATTGAACTCAGGGCCTTCACACTGAGCTACAGCTATAACTCTTTTATTATTTTTTTTTATCTTGAGGTAGTTTTGCTGTTGCTAATTTGCTCAGACTGGGCTTGAACTTGCTATCCTTCTGCCTCAGCCTCCCACAGTATTAGGATTATAGGTGTGCACCACTGTGCCAGTCTGAGTGTGTCCATATCACTGTGGACCAGGAGGAGATCATCAGAAGCCAAGACAGCTTGGAAATGAAGCCTACTTTTTTATTTTCTGAGTACCAGGTGAACTCAGAGCTTGGAAAAGGTATTGGCTCCAAAATACAAAAAGAAAGTGACAAAATTAATTAAAGTGAATACACATTTAAACATTAATAAAATGTAACCATACATCAACCCCTGACAGATAATATTTCAACCTCAAGAATAAAATTAACAACTTATTTATAAAAAAATTCAAAATTTACACAAATTATAAAACTCCTTTCAAAATCTTTACAGCAAAAAAGCCACATGTCATGTGCTTTATTTTAACATGTTCATATGATATGGGATGAAATTCTCAAAACTAAAAGTGTCAAGGGCCAATAAGAGTTTTTAAATGAACTTATCTGACTTAGGAATCTAGTGCCACCAGAGAAAGGAAATGAACTCCAACTATGGCTTCGACTAGACTTTAGGAATTGAAAGAAAATAGGATGTACAGCTACGGATTGTACAGCTGTGCTTGTGGATTGAGGTGGCGTTTGCAGATGTACTGAGTGAGCTATGTGTGTAAGGTATCGGGTTCGGCCCTGGGAAAGGCTAGGACAGACGTGGAAGGCTTCTGCCCTGAGGAGCTCCCATTCTAGTGGGAGAGACAGAGATCAAACAAACAAAAAATACAGACTGAGGTAAGTATTATAGAGAAGAATGAGTCAAGAGATGGCATATGAAGAATGAAAGATGGAAAGGTGGGGAAAGGGGACGTTAGATAAACCTAATTTCAAAGCCAAGGTTCTACATGCCTCAAAATTATGACAGTTTGCCCCCCCATAACTGTATAACACACTAACCAGTTATGTTTCGATTACTTTCTTTCCATTATTTGCCAGTTCTTCACAATGAATTTTGGGGGGTTCATAAGTTAAGCATCCTTTACTTTATGCTTTTTATTATTTTCTTCTTTTTTTCTCTCCCTCCTTTCTCCTCCCTTCCCTCCTTTCTTTTTCCCTCAGCTCCTCTTTTTCTTTCCCCTCTCCTCCTCTTTCTTGTCCTCCTCTTGCTTTTGGCGCTGGGAATCAAACCCAGTCTCATACATGCCAAGAGCAAGTTCTACCACTGAACCCCAAAACATCTTTTATTTTTGTCCTGTCTGGGATATTACTAAAAGGTGGTCTTCAGGAAGCGTGGGTCATATCAGACTTCTACAGAGACTTTGCTAAATGAGCTTGCTAGAAGCTCTAGTTCTATCAGAGCCAGTCCTGGGGTACACCAAGGGCCTTACTAAGGGCCCCTCCACTTGCGTGCCATGGAAAAACATCACAGCAAGAGGAAAGCCCAGCTGGGATGAATAGGGAGAACAATCCCAATACCGTCACTGGCTGAAATGTTTTTTACCTGGTCAAATTAAATGAAGACACATGTGACAGCTTTCATTTCATAAACAAGCTGAGATAAACCCACTGGCTCGATTTGGTTCCAAGTGTCTGTTGAAATGGATGTTGCAAAATGTCACTAACAGCATCCCTTTCCTCTTTTCTGTTGTTACACTCCCAATTGTAACCAGATTTGGTGTCCCTTCTCCCTTATTCATCAGGACAAAAATAATTCCAACACGTGGGCTAAATTTTGCGCTCAAGAAAGGCTCTATGATGTCATTTCCAGCTTTGCGTGGTCTTTTTTAGAAACTTCCCCCCTGAGCAGGGAAGCTGGGAGAGCCTGGGGAAAACCTGGCTGTGAGCCTGACACAGGAAAGCACAGCTTATGTTATGAAGGCGGCCAACAGCAAGGGAAATAACAAAGCAAAAAGTAAGAAAAACAAGTTGGTTTGGAAGAACTCCACCCAAAACAGGTTTCCGCCCTCCTGAAAGGCAGTTTGCCAATTGCCACGCAAGTCGTATGCATGTGGCATAAAGTAATTACAGTTTCTTCTTAATGAAAAGAATGATATGATGCCCTAGTCTCTAAATGTGGTCTTACAGCCAGTTAGGATAGCACGGCGTGATGCAGTCCTACCATGGGTGGACACGGGAAAAGTATGAAAAGCCACAAACTTCAGGTGATGTCCTCTGCATTGCTTTTGTCCCAGGGATTCTTAGGTTATTAGCGGTTTGGTTTTTAAAGCAAGTGGCCCTTACACATACTATTGCTGCCCAGCAGGACAAATTATTGGACAGGACACTGTTCACAGTGACAGGAAATCACCCAACAACAACTCTTCCTCCCCAACAGGCACTGTGTTCATGTCCCAGATCCCTCTGGGTGGGCCAGGGGAGGAACTACGACATCCTAAAGGGGTATTGGTTTGTTGTTTCTGGCAGGGATTCAACTGGTTTCCTGAGGATGACAGAGAGGTAAATGACGGAGTACATAATGTCCTAACAAGACACAGGAGCCTTGGCTTGTTTGGCTGTTCCTTACAGACTGGCTCAAGACCAGAGAATGTATGCACGAGCATTGTCTGTATCTGCTACACTAGGTATCTCACTTTTTCTGTTTGTCTCCACAAGAAACATGATGAAGGAAAACCCACAAAACTCCGTTTGTTTTCTATTACAGCAGAGATGATGAGGCTAGCTAGATGACACATGGAGCCAGGAGCAAGAACTGCTGCCCTCTTCCCCCGTCATTTCCCCTACCTTCTCTTCTGTTTAGCCTAAAGATTAGAATACAAGCAGAGTGATTTTGGAGATCTATTTTTAAAACTCTTGTCAGTGTGTTTCTGAAATCTCTTCTGTTTACTTATCAGGCTGTGAGCTGCAAAGTCCACTTCCTACACGTTTTGTTGCCCAAGAGAATTTGTGGGAATCCTCTTCTCTAAATACCAGCCAGAAGTACTTTCTATACCAAGTTCTAGAAAGGATGTTTGCTCAAAGGGCAGTCTTCTAAATGTTCTACATGGAATAATTTCTCTACAGGGTTGGACTAGATTTCTTAATAGGAAATTCTTCAAAAAAGGATAATGGGCCAATGAAAATCACAGCTATTAATCATAACTGGAGTCGTAATCTGTGGTCTCCAAAAATATTTACTAAGCTTCTATTCTGAGTTTTGTCCTATGCTGGATATTACTTTAAAAGAGAGTTACCGCTAACAACCAGCTGAAAGTCCATGGTCTCTATTTTCAGAGGTGAACTTGCAATGCAACTGTAGGTTCCTTGATCAGATTTCTTGACTTTGGTGATTGACAGCTGAAAAGATTCTCTCGTCTGTTGGATTCTGTGGCGACTTTTCTCTAATACCAGGGCACTATTGTTTTTGTACCACATCATTTGAGCTTGTGGGTTGGATTTCACACTGCAAACCAAGTCCACATCACTGTCTTCTTCAGCTGTTCGGAAGTTGTCTCCACTCAGGGAAGGTGGATCTGCAAGACTCAAGCATTTGGGTTTAATTAGAAGAGAAAGAGCAGTTCACTGGCAGTGCTCAAGGTCTTCCTTCAGTCTGTCTCACGTTGTTATTCACTCACTTAACAGAAGTATGCTGGATACATACTACATGCCAAGCCCTGGGCTAGGAGCTAGGTATAAAACAATAAATAACGAACTCCAGTTCCAAACCTCATAGATTTTTAGCATGGAGAAGACAAACTATAAAACAATATCTGATTATGAGCATAACATACATGGTAAAAAATCTGTAACAAATAGACAATTTGTAACACTACCTAAGAGGATAAGACTTGTTTCTTTGCTCTCAAAGAGTTAACATAATAAACCAGTCTATACTAAGGTTGAATAAAACAATATAATACCAAGAAGATAGACGACACTACAGTCAGCCCTAATTCCATCTGCATCACTTAGTGTGCTCTTGAGACAGCCAAAGAACTGTTAAGCCCTCAGATTCCTCAACCTCAAAAGTTGGGGTGATAACACTGACCTGGGGAACTGCTGTGATGATCAAGTGAAGTCACCCTGTAAAAAATGTAGTATAGCGCTAGCTACTATTATCCCTGAGGTGGCGGTGCTTTTTTTGAAGGCTACTCATACATCCTGTTTTTGCGTCTTATCTAACCACATGGCCTTAGTCACATATTTAGTAATGCGCATTTGTGCACCGCCCCCGCCATCTTCTGGAAATAAATGGCTCGTCCCAGGAGGTATTCCAATTATAGCAATTCTGGCTTCTACAGAGGGTTACTGGGTCCCTCTCAGCTCTGTAGACAACTCCTTACTCTCTCCAGAATAAGAAGAGTTGTGGATTCACACACAGACACATTCATCTTTGCCAAATAATTGCAACTCTAAACCTCCAGCAAGTCTTTCCAGTATCTGGGGGACAAATGACTGAATCAACCTTCCCCCCTCGTCTATGTCCTTTGTATTTTTGGACAAAGATGCAAAAGATCAGTAAAGTGCCTGAAGAGTGAGTGGGCAGAGGAAGGAAGGAGATGTGAAGGAGTAAAAAGGAGCTTGTATAATCTGCACACTGAATAATTAAACCCTGAGTAGGCTGCACTATTAATAACTTTCTCAGAAGAGTGACATTTTGTTGCTCTTTGGAATGAGCTGAATTCTGTATCCATATCCCAGGAGGATGTTGTCTGCTATTCAGATACTAGAAAGCTGCTGGAGTGGAGAGCATGCCAAATAGACCAATTCCATTAGTGGGCCGATCTTATTGGCTATTCATGTTACTATTTAAAATAATGTTTAAGCATGTCAGCTACATGGGACTGTTCTCTTTTAAAAAGGAAACAGTACACTTCAGATTCTCTTTGACTCTAGTCTGATCTTATCCTAACTCCCCAGAGATACTTGCTGCTATAAATTTGGGCTAAATTCTTCCAGATCTTTTAAAGACAGTTTTATATACAGATAGTATGTCCACAATTGTATTGTTTTCGGAGCACAAGAATGTCTTGCATAAGAGACTTCATCCTTTCAAAAACTTACACATTTTTGAAATATAGTCCCATTAAATCACAAAGATCTAACTCACTGGTTTAGAGTGATATAGTACAATATAGGACACCTTATTTTAGTTTGGTAGGCATTAGAGTATTTTAATTTTTTTAAAATAATGCATGTTTGGGACTGGGGATTTAGCTCGGTGGCACAAGCACCTGCCTGGCAAATGCAAGGTCATGAGTTCAATCTCCCGTACCAAAAATAAAAGTACCTGTTTGTTTTTTTCAATAATGTATAACGTGTTTTTTTTTTTTTTTTTTTTTTTTTTTTTTTTTTACGGAGAAAAGTAAAGCAAAATTTCAGCTGGGCATGGTGGTACACTCCTGTAATCCCAGCATTTTGGAGACTGAGGCAGGAGGATCGTTGCAAGTTTGAGACCAGCCTGGGCTACAAAGTGAGCCCAAAGCCAGCCTGAACCGCATAGCAAGACCTTGCCTCAAAAAGACTAAAAAAATTTTTTTCATGACAAATAATAGGAGAATAACAGCAGTACTTTGAGTATGGTTATCTTTAAAGTCGTTAATCAGAATACAAGATATGGCTTTAAAAAATCCTCTGAATGATACTAGCACAAACCTTTCTTTTCAATGAACCAAGAGAAAATAGTAGGATAACTATCTTGTATTCTGCTTTTTCCCCCCTTCCTTTCTTTCCTCTTTCCCCAATTCTACTTCTTCCTTTTGAACAATTTCTCATTTCACAATATCTATTATGCATTTTGGACCTTATTTACCCTTTCAGTTTCTCACACCAGAAGACAATATAATACTTACACATGTGAGTCTGATTTATTTCACTTATCTTATGATTATTTTAATTTTAAATATGTTAAACAATGATACAATAAATATTTTTATCTATGCCTCTGTATATGCACATGCAAATGCACATGCATTTCTCCAAGGTTAGCGGGAAAAATTCTGGATCATGCCAAAAGCACCATTTAAATTCTGATAGATATTGAAAACCAGGTAGTTTTAGTTTATACACTGGATAAGAGCATATAAGAAAATCTGTTTCTTCGTACCTTCCCCCACATTGCACGTTATCAGACTCCCATAAGTTTTTGTATGTGCCTGTGTGTTTGTACACACACACTACAGATTTAATCCAGGGTCTCACACATACTAAGCACCACTGAGCTGCATCCCAGCCCTTTTCTTAGTTCTAGATCTGCCCTTTATAACACTCATAATTCCTTTGGATTATACATGACATTCATGTCACTTTTATAGGCTTATTTTGATTTATTAGTTGATGAGTGTGTGTCAGTTACTGTTGCAATAAACCACTGACCAGTTGTGTGTATCAGACATAGGTTTAATAATTATATTTAGAAGGTTATTATAAAGATGATTTGAAAAGTGATTTGAGGCTGGAAAACTGAAAAACAATTCATTAGGTCACTAGCTCATATTTTTGGCATTCCTGCTATATCTCAGAAGATAACTTGGGGGCTGGGAATCTAGCTCAGTGACACAGAGTCTCCATGGCAAGCATAAGGTCCTGAGTTTGACTCCCGTACCCACCATTAAAAAAAAAAGAAGATAACATGGGAGGAATACTAAATTTAGGAGACTTGGGCTGGGGGGATGTGTTCTAGCCTCAATTCCAGCTATGATTTGGGTCCTTACTCTGGGCCTCAACTTACTTTGGCTGGATTACAAAACAGCCAGGATCCTCTGATAGTTTTGGATTCTATCAAAATAGCCAAGAGATACTATGTTTGATCAACTCATTTAAAGTGAAAAGCAAATCTCATTTGCTTGGGAACAGTTATTCACTTAGAAATTCCAAAATGCAGGATGTCAGGATCTTGTTTCTTATCAACTTTTCACTGAGAAGTTAGCTGAGGTCACTGACTCAGGTGGCTTTGATTTGATTACTATGTTCCAAGCTGAGAGCTCTTCCTGCCATATCCCATCATCCTTCATCTACTCCACCTTCCACCTCCACCATCTCTACCTCCTTCATGCAGAACCCACTTTCCACCAGACAACCCACATGACCACCCTGTGGTGTCATTTGTCAGACTCTAATCTATGTATATAAATCCCTCAGTGGGAGACCTACAACTGAATACTTGAAGAACTTCACCTTTTTAGATTTTAAAGTATCAATGATCCCCAATGCAAGTTTTCCTAAGCAGAATACAAAAGCTAAGAACAACAAAGTAGAACTTCCGAGAGAACATGGCGGACAGATAGCAGCAGCTACGGAGGCTCTCTGAAAGACCCAGCTTAGAATTCAGGAATGGGGCGGAGTAAGGAATCATAAGCAAGTGGAGATATGCCCTGCTGACCCAAGAATAAACTGGGCTGAGAGAAACCAACTGGGAATGCAATCCTGGCGCTATAACAGGAACAGAAAAGCCTCAGTGTGGAAGCTGGAGCCCGCGGCATTGGAAGCCGTGATTTGGGTTTCCCGCCGCATGGCGGCTGTGTCTACATCGGCTCAGCAGGGAGAGAGACGCGCAGAAGCTCTGAGAACGGGAATCGGTGAATGGAGTTGAAAGCAGGATGGGCGGGGAGGTGTGCATTGACTTGCGGTGAGGTGAGTGAGAGAAACTGAGACTCTTCGACAGTTTAGGAGACTCCAACAGAGGACATTCTGGGACTGGGCAGACTTGCAGGAACAGGGCGCTGCAGTGACTTCAGCCACGTATCCCCCTCTCAAGCGGGATTGGTGAGAAGTACCTGGCCTATGTGACGCTGCTGGCTGAGACCCAGTAGGCTAGCACAACCCAGATCCCAGCGCCTGAGGGTGACCTGGAGGGGCAGGCCCCGCATAGGCTGCCTGGTCTGCAACTTCCTGGTGTGCTGCGGTGGGCGGGAACACCTAGCTGGCGCAATTTCAATCAGACTGTGGCTGACAGGGAAGGAAGCTGGGCCACCTATATACGCTTGCATAAATAAGAAATAAAGAATATGGGAAGAGGGAGCAACCAGAAAGGCCCTTCAGCCCCCAATCCTGAGAAACAGGCAATAGCGGACACCGCACCAATAGACATAAAGCGCCATCTCTGGAGCCTCATAGACGAGTTCAGGAATGAAGTTATTAATGACCTGAAGCTAGAAATAAGCAGAATAGTTAGAGAAATGCTAAGCACCACCCCCCCCCCAAAAAAAGAAAAACCAGATGGTGGAATGGAAGAACAGAAAAAGAGGGGAGAATCGTTTGATGGAGAAAATAGAGAAAGCATAGAATATGTGAAGCAGGTTCAAAGAGATTACCAGGAAACTAAAAACTCTGTCGAAAACTGGAATAACAGCTTGAAAGAAACTAAGGACAGACTATCTGAACTGGAGGGCAGATTTGTAATATGGGAGAATGAAATGAAAAACTTCTTAAAAGTAACAAAGAAACAAACAGCAATAATACAAAGACTAGAAGATGATAAGAGGATCCATAACTTAAGAATTAAGAACATAAAAGAAGAAGTAGGGGCACAAACAAATGAACTGCAAAAGCTACTCACAGAAATAATCCAGGAGAATTTTCCTAATTTAGCAAAAGGTAAAGATACTCAGTTGTATGAAGCATACAGGACCCCAGTCACCTACAACCCAAACAGAGCAACACCCAGGCATATAATAATTAAAATTCCAGTAATTCAATACAAGAACAGAATATTAAAAGCTGTCAGAGACAAGAAACAGATCACTTACAAGGGAACACCCATCAGAATTACAGCAGATTTCTCTGCACAAACCATCAAATCATGAAGAGCGTGGGGGGAAATAATTCAAGCTTTGAAAGATAATAATCTCCAGCCAAGATTGATATATCCTGCACAACTATCCCTGGAAATTGATGGAAAAACAAGGTGCTTCCAGGATAAAGAGGAACTAGGGGAATATGCAACCACCAATTCAACTCTACAGAGAATACTGCAGGATATTCTAAAAAAGAAAAATACGAAGAATCCAGAAATAGTGGCAGAGAGGCCACAATAAATGGAGCAGAAAACAAAATGAAGAAGACAAACTGACAACTAATGACAGAAAAAGAGCTCAACAGAAATGAGGCAGAGAAGATTGGATGATAGGAACAGCTATTTTGGAGGAAATGACATCTTAATAGGTAATACTGATTTAGTATCATCTTGTTTTGAAGTCCCATCAAGCTTTTGTTCTTCTGTCTCCATTGGTCTAAACAGGTTGTATCTTATTGGATTTTATTATGTATGATAGTATAAGCAAAAACTTTTATAGACAAGGAGATTATACAGAAACCATTGTTCATTTTCTGTTAGTTGATTCTAAATACCCTGTAATGCTGTCATTCTCTTAAATGGTTTTACATTGTTTTGATATATTTGATGCTACAGTATACAAAGTTATACTCAAAGATTTCAAGGAAAGAGACAAATGGTAACTACTTTTATGTCAGGATTATCTTGTGGTGAAACACTATTCTGCTTAAATGGTTATGTTTTGATTTGCGCTGTTTTGCTGTTATGCCCTCTTTTATCTCAATCTCCACTTCATTATTTACTTTTTAATTTTTATCCTTTTAATTAAGGGAAAAATAAATAAAAAATAGCAGAATATATTATAGTAACCCACTTTGACTTTCCATTATCTTGATTTAAAGCCCTGTATTACTCTCACCATCTTGTTTTTGACTGATGTCCCCCTATTCTGTTTTGCTTGATAGTACCAGGTTCGAAAGTTTAGGCAACAGCTGTGACAATAGTGGGATTCATTATGATGCCCATTCTGGTTGACTCTTATCTACTTTTGAAGACCTATAATGTCTCCAATGTTTTGGTTTTGTCAGTTTTGTTCTTTACTGTTTTGTTCAATTTTATTATAACTGATGATATAGGCAATTCTATTAGAGATAGCGGGAGGCATTATGGTAACCATTGTTGATCACCTTGTATTATGCTTTTACATTATCTATTATGTCCACCTTTTTGATTTGATTGACTCTGTTCTGTTATGTCACATTTGGTTCTACTCCCTTCCAAAAAAGTAATAAGAACTGTGGGAGCAACAAAACCCAAAATGTGTAATTGTCATTGTACAAAAGAGAGGAAAAGAAAGTGCTCTAAACGATATAACTCTATGTATATTTAAGTGTATAAGATAGATAATGATATCACTGAGTTTTGTTAGATCATTGAACAGAACTGTTTGCAGTCTCACTGTTGGAATGTCCACTTTACAAGCTTTAATTTTGTAACTTGAACAATTATTTCTAAGATGACAATATGTAATCCATTAACTAGTGATTTCTTACTGTTTATTTTTTTTTCTGTAAATCTGTATAACTTGTACCCTTTCTCTGCTTTTTTTCTCCTTAAATAAAATTAAAAAAAAAGAACAACAAAGTAAAGATTGATAATCTTAAATATGCAAACATTAAAGTCTTCAATATGGTACCCCCCCACCACCACCACCAAAAGGGTATCCAGGGATAGAATGTAGCTCAGTGGTAGAGTACTTGTCTAATGTGCTCCAGGGCCTAAAATCAAACCCTTTTTGTTTTTTGAAAACAATAGGAGCCAGGTGTTGTGGCACACATCTGTAATTCCAGCACTTGAGAGGCTGAGGCAGGAGGATCACTGTGAGTTCGAGGTTAGCATAGGCTACATAGTGAGTTCAAGGCCAGTCTGAACTACAGAGGCACTGTCTCAAAAACAAAAAAAACCCAAACAAAAAACAAAAAAACCAAATAGGAGAGCCAGGCAGCTTATGACCAATGGCAGCTACATGGAAGACTGAGGTAGGAAGATCACCAGTTTAAAGCCAGCCTGGCAACTTAGTGAGACACTCTTCTCAAAATAATAAAAAAACCCAAACTCAGTACTCCCTGGTCTCAATCCCCAGCACTACAAAAATCAATGAGGGAAGTTCTTGCAATCCAAAATGCCAAAGAGCTAATTTCCTTACCTTATAAAGCCGTTATACAGATTAATGGGAAAAAGATTGGTATGCCACTAGAGAAATGGTAAGACCATGAGCAAGTTATTTCACAGAAAAGAACTATGGATAGCCAATACATTTATGAGAAGTGAATGCCCTCAATCTTAATGTCAAAGATGAAAATAAAATTTCAAATGCTACTAGCAGATACTCAGTGCTGGAAAGGGTATGGGGTATGGGGTAAATGCTTTGTAATGTAAATAGGGCAGTCTGACAAATCAGGGTCTACACTGCAACTACCATTTAATTTAGCAGACACTACAGATGGACAGCTCCTTCTCCCTCCACTCACAAGTGACATTCAGCACCACTGAGATGGACACCGTCTGATCACTTTGCAGCTTGCAGGTAAAACTGACACCGTTATCATCTTCACTGATGGAAGAGACGCAGACAGAGCTGGAGTTGATTTTGTTTATAGGTTTCAAATCTATTCTGTCCTTTTCTCGGTACCACAGGAGTTCTTCATCTCCGGTGTGGTTATGAACAGTACATTCCAGAGATTCGTAAACACCAGGTTGAGTTTCCAGGGTATAGTTCTCTGCTTTACCATTCACAGTTAAAACAGAACCTAGAAGTATAGAGAGAAACCATGAAGGTATGCGGAGTGACCAAGCTAGATATCTGTTAATAGAGAATTGGTTAGATTAATTATGTTTCATCAGTGCAATAAAATGATCTCTCAACAATCAAAAAGTCTTATAGAGCTATATGATTTTACAAGGCAATAGATCCATAATATATTTTTAACTAAAAATAGAAAAGGATACAAATAGTAGTTATGAAATTTTGTTGCACACTGGAACAACCTGGAAAATTTTCTAAAGTCCTGGTACTATGACCTCGCCCCAGGTATAACTGATTGACTGCTATGAATGTAACCGCCAACTTGGGCATTTTTTTGTTTGTTTCACTTTGTTATTTGAGACCTGGTCTCACCATGTGGTTCAGACCAGCTTTGATTCACTGTGTAGCCCAGGATGGTCTTGAGCCCTCGGTGTTCTTCTTGCCTCAGCCTCCCAGGCGCTGGGATGACAAGTGTGCACCAACCTGCCCAGAAACCTTAGGCTTTTTAAAAGGCTTCCTGGTGGTTCTAATACTCAGTAAACTAGAGATTAGAAGCCAAAATGTACAGAATAGTTTCAGAATGATTGTAGAAAATTCTCTGTATGTTAACTAGAATTGGTAAAAGAGAAAAAAGGTGGAGAAATATCAGATTTATTTGCTTATTTTAAGGGGTTAGAAGTAGGAAAGCAAGAGAGTAGGAATAGGAAAATAAAAAGAAAAAAGAATTAAAGCAAAGTGGAAAAATATCTAAGATACAGCATTAGATGAAAAGATAGAATATAAACTACATCTCATACTTAGTACTAGTGTATCAAAGCAAAATGCAAGTGAGCCAAAACTGATTTGATAACACCTTTCTGATGAAATGATAGATTATGGACTAGTTTGAACTGCATTTTTGATGTTTTCATAGTTTTGAAAGTATAGTAAAATTAAAAGATGTTTAAATAGCTATACTTTGTGGAGTAGACAAATTTCATGGAGTTGATGATCAAGATATATCTCAGGTATTTTCTGGCTCTCATTTTAGACAGAAAGTATGTTTAAGCACATACACTTAGTATTGAGCTAAAAGCCCTGATCTTGTTTTTAAAAAATCTATTGGTAAAGGTAATGGGATTACTGCCTAGTGTTTTCTAACAATTTGGAACATTACACACCAAAACACTGACTGGTTACCTATGGGATGACAGCATTTGGAAGGGTTGTTTTTTGTAGAGGGTTAGGAGGAGGGTTCCAGGAATCAAAGCAGGGTCTTGTGCTTCCCAGGCAGGTAGCTGTGCCACTGAGCTCTATCCCTGGCCCTGGAAGGGTTTTTATTTTGGGATGCTTTTTGTTTATTCACTTGTTTTATTCTGTGGTGCTGAGGATTGTACATGGTAGGCATGCACTTCACCACAGGGAGCTACAGCCCCAACTCCTCGTATGTTCTTCTCTTCTTCATTCTTTAAAGATAGCTTTATTTTTGTATTTATTTACTTATTTTTGTAATGCTGGAGGTTGAACCCAGGGCTCTGCGTGTGCTGAGTACATACTCTGCTACTGATTCTTAGCCTTTTGTTTAGTTTATTTTACCATGACTGTACACTGCTTTTAAAATCCAGGAGGGAGGAAAGATTACTTTCAGGTGGGGATAGAGAGACACATGAAAGATTTTCATGTAAGTGGTGTGTTCAAGTAAGCAGATTATTTTGGGTAAAATTAGTGTTGAAATGCATTAAAATGTATGAGAATTCTGGCTTTTATTCTGGAAAGAATAGAATATTTATCCCTTCTTGTACTATGGGAATCATGAAAACAATTTTCCGTTTCATTTTTTGCTCTATTAGTAACTCCTGTATTCTGAGCCGTTCCAATTGTGCAGCCATTCCAAATTGGAATTAATTTCTTTCTTTCTTTCTTTCTTTCTTTCTTTCTTTCTTTCTTTCTTTCTTTCTTTCTTTCTTTCTTTCTTTCCTTCCTTCCTTCCTTCCTTCTTTCTTTCTCTCTTTCTTTCTTCCTTAGTGTGTGTATGTGTGTGGGATGGGATTAAACTGAGGGTCTTGCACATATAAGGTACATGACTGCCCTAGGCTACTCCCCTAGCCCTGATCATTTTTTAAAATCCAAAATATTTCTTTCTCTACAAAAAGGCCAAAGAGAGTATTAACTTACTTGTTGTCTTGGATGGCAAAAATAAAATCACCACAACAAGTCTGCACATTTGCAGCGGACTCCTGCTCTTCCATGCCATCTTTAATGAACGGAATTTGAACCTGCTGAGGTGAGAGAATGAAGCTGGTTTTGCCCTTCGATCTATAATGAGTTTATGAACCTACCTCTTGTCTATTTAATATTTAAAATAAAATCCCAGATGAGTCACCCCAACTGTAACGGTACTACTTCTAGTTTTTAATTAAACAACTCTGATCTAAGTAAGTTCAAAGTACTTCTAGTATTAAAAACTTTTTTAAGGCAGCAAAAACAAAACTTCAAGGAAATACATTAGGCTTTAAGGTACAGGACAGCCTGGGAAAGATAAAACCAGGCTTTCCTGGAAAAAATGACAGAATATCTTTTTTTTTTTTTTTTGCACCGATGATTGAAGTCACCATGTTGCACTTACTACACAAGCACTTAAACTGCTGAGCTAAATCCCCAGCCAATAGAATGTCATTTTAACAGGAAAAGAAATGAAACTGACTTCATTCTCAGGTAGCCTTTACTAAACAGAGTTCTTATTTGGAAAGACTCCCTGTCATTTTTAGTGAAAGTTGTTCTCTGATAAGAGAGAATTCAAATCCCATAGATTCAAATGGTGTCTACTCAGGAAGGACTCAATGGAAGCATGGGCTATAGTTTTAAAACTTGTTAATATCTTTGTACTTCTCCCCAATATTCCTTTCCTTTAGCCCAGTATGGACTAAAAATAATAAGTAATCAAGGCCTCCTTTGCCCATCTTTCTTTATCTTTTTTTCTTTTCCTTCTATGTACCTCTCCTTAAGATATTCTCGACCTCAATCTGGAAAAAAAATATGTGTCCTTTACATCCTTTCAAGAATACTACTATTGGGGCCAGGAATTTAGCTCAGTGGCATAAGCGCCTGCCTGGCAAGTGCAAGGTCATGAGTTCAATCCCTGGTACCGAAAAAAAGAATACTATCATGCCAAAGATTTAGCTTGGGGTAAAGCACTTGCAAAGCATGTACAAGGTACTGGGTTTATTCCCCAACACTACCAAAAAATAAAAATAAAATAGGAGCACTTTTATTAATATAGTAGAAATACATACAATGTAATGGTACTGTCACAGGACAAGCTCTACAACCACCCTGTTGAGGTAGTTTCTAAAGTTTTAGAGAAATGATGCAATTTCCCCAAGATCCTATAGATGATAAATTGCAGAATGAATAGTCAAACCCATGGCTCTCAAGGTGAGGCTATTACTCACCCTCTTCCCTAAATTAATATTCTCTTCCTTTATAAGATTTCAGTCACCCTTCCCAGTCCCTGGCTACTCCACTGACTGTAGCCATTGGAGTGTTATCCCCCTAACATGGGTATTCACTGTCAAGACCCAGAATACACTTAGCACTACTCTAGGTCTCCTCTGCACCCAGGTCCCAGGCCTGTCCAGTTAGGAGCAAGTTTCAGTCCTGCCAGGCTGTCCTCTCTGGCTGGCAAGCCTGTACCAATCTTTTAATAAAATGAACTAGTACTAATATTGATTCTTTTGTAATTTGAATGTTGTTTTGCTCAAGATAATTCGATCACACAGTAATTATTTCAGAACTTGGTCATTAGTAGTTATCTCAAAGACTCTTCTCTACACTTACTCAACAAAACTGGGATATGGGCTTCTTGGCAAACCTCACCCCATAGCCATCCCCTTGTTAAAAAAAAAAGAGAAAAAGTGATGTTTTCTCTTTCCTTCCTCTCAGCCAAAACATCAACTGTTCGTAATGAATTTCCCTCCCCTGACTCTTTACCTTCTCTACAGATAGGCTTATCACTTACCTGCTGAGCTCTGGAAAGCTGACTGCCTTGGCCTTCTGTTCCTCTGCCTGGGACCCTGAATTCTGTCCTTGTTACATCCTTTATAATCCTTGAATTTGAACACTTTATGACAGTAAGGTCAAATAAATAAGATAAATTGGGTTCAAAGTCTGTGTCTCTTTATGGATTCTTAGGGAAGACAGTAATTAGGAAAGACATCTTCTTAAGATCTAGGTTTTCCTGTGTACCCAGGTTACTAGGTGGGGCTGGATATTACTAACCAGGATGTAATGTTCCACTGAAGCCTGAACTTATGCAAAAGTGTGTAGTATCTTGCTTAATTTAGTGGTATGCAAGTGAGATGATCGTGCTATGTCAATCTGATAACTTGGGGATTGTGATAGGACAAGTCTAAGGAGAAATTTGATTTTCACAACAGTCAAAATATTAAAAGACTCCATACAGCTTAAATAATGCTGTAGAAGACAGCCCAGTGTGTGGACGGTGCCAAGCCCAGCCTGATAGGGGATCATTTTAGTTCCTTCAGGCTTTCATCTAATAGAAGAATCCCTGCATTATGCTCTCAAGATTTAGCAAATGGTAATAACTTTTATTGATTAAGTGTATGTTTATGGTATTATTACCAATGCAAACTTTTATCTGACAAGTGCTATTGTTCCCATGTGCAGGAAAACAGAATAATATTTATGGCTGTCCATATATTTTAACACATTGATCAAATACAGCAGAGATCTCTTACTAGCCACGTGACTTCAAAAAGTTGTTTAATCTCTGTCGAACCTCAGGTTCTTGACCAATGCAATGAGAATGATGACAGAGGGCTGGGGATTTAGCTCAGTGGCATAAGCGCCTGCCTGGCCAGGAAAATGACAGTTCCCTCCCTACAGTCGCTGTGAGGACTAAATGAAATGGAACATGTAAGGCTGCTATACGGTAAGCCCTTATTAAGCAGTAATTATTTATTATTGTTACTACTAAGACAGGCTGGGCTGGGTATAGTACATAAGCACAGCCTCACTGTAATATTGTTCAAATAAGGATCATCACTAAGAGCCACTCCTGTTGGCTGGGTACAAGCTCCCTCAAGTGGGTTTTGAATTTGTTTCTCTGTGAATCCAAGAGCACCCAACTTACCCACTTCCAAGAGTGTTTTACTATTTATTTAAAAATAAATTTATCACTGGACTGATGTCTTGGTTCTGGGTACCTCAAAAGCAGACCCTCAGACAAAGCGTTGGGTACAGTTTATTTAAAAGTAATTACAGGAAGTCTATAAGATAGGGAAGGAAGGAAAATTAATACAGGATATGCTAATGAATAAGGTGCTGCTTTGGGGAATTGTGCTGTGGAGCCTTTGAGAAATTCAATGGAGCACTCTTCACAATCAAATCATTATAGGAGGGCCTAGGGATTTAGTCCAGTGGTGTAGCATCTGATTGGCAAATGTGAGGTCCTGAGTTCGATTTCCAATACCCCTCCAAAAAAAAATCAGCTCATAATGGGAAAGCAAATTTGAGTATTCATCAACCAACATCTTCATTTATTGTTTGACACTTGCATGTTGGCTCCCTAGCACTTCTGGCCTGTCCTGTGAGGGTAGAGATACTCACTCAAGCCAGTCAAGAATGTCTAGAAAAAGATAAATGGAAATTACTTGATCTATGGGAACTGTTAGGAGATAATCTCTATATAGGGCAAGGAGATATCACTAGGACAACAAGAAAAACTTCTACAATATTCTGGGTGGTACTAGAAAATTATGGTTAATTATTTGTGGGTGTGATAATGGTTTTTAAGTTAAATAAGCAAACATCCTAATTCTCTGGAGAGGCCTGCTAAAATATTTCAGGGTTGAGCGACATGACAACTGCAACTAACTTTCTAATGATTTAGCAAAAATAGGGCTGACAATCTAGCTCAGTGGTATAGTGTGGACCTGGCATGCACAAGGCCCTGTGCTTAAGCATAATTGTAATCATAGCTGTAATCAGTAAGCACACACAATATAGCAAATATTAACTAACATTCGCTGAATATACACAGGACTACATAGATCTTTATTGTACTATTCTTTCAACTTTTCAATGTGTTTGACTTTTTATAACTAAAATGTTAAAGAAATGTACTTAGCAGATTTTTATTGTGCATTTTCTATGTGAAAAGTATTCTAAATATTGGAGATGCCAGTCTCATCAAAGCCAGTGTGGCGGCTTTGTCTTGAATTAGAGAATGAGGCTTCTGAAGCTTCTCTGCCACCTGTGGGAAATTGTTGTAATAACTCTACAAAGCTGTGATATCCACAAGATGAATAGACTCTACAACATGAAATGAGCACCCTGGGAGAGATGCAAGTGTGTAAAATAAAGCTCCTGGCTTTCAAGGGCCTTAGATACTGGAGCAAAAAGTTAATATTGACAGTCAGTATTACTGTAGAATGCCCTCAGGTGCTGAAGAGGGATTTCCGGTAAGAAAAATGGTGGCTTGGCATCACTTTTGGGGAGACAAAGGAGTGATATGGTTGTATAAGCACATCCCTAGAACAGTCCTCTTTCCTATAACTGACAGACAGAAGAAATAATTTTTCTAAGAGTAGTTAAGCATAGTAGTTAACTATTAAACTTAAGTAGTTAGGCTAGTTGGAATATTAATAGAGTTCAGGGATTGAGGTATTAGTCAGTGCTAGAGTGCTTACATAGCATGCACAAGGTCCTAGGGTGAATCCTGGCATCACAAGAACAAAATAAAATAGAGTTCAATTTCCATATAGTCTACAAATAACTTAAGCTCAGAGTGGGAGAGGAAGGGCAGCCTCGAGTCTGAAAGTTCCAGGAATAGACACCCATCTGCTCCACATTCTCCAGGCCCTGGAACTTCTGGCAAGGTGACTGAGAAGGGATCTAGGACTGGCATCCATGACTTTCTGATTAAGGTGAATATGAAAACTATGAAGAGACTCCCACGGGCAAGTCTGGCCCTCCTGTGGCACCAGTGCCCTGCCTCCGTGGCGATGGTCCCAGCTCTACTCAGGGATGCATAGCCCAGCCAGGTGGAAAGGAAGAAGCAAGAGAATCACAGAACAGTGTGACTCCCAAACCCAGTCGGTCACCGGTGTCGAGGTCGCCTGAAAGGTGCACATGCAGGATCTGAATACACAGAGCAGAGAGCAACAGCCTGGTCCCGTGAGGCAGGAGCAGGTTGAGGGAATCCAAAGACAGCTTGAATCGCCTGCTCTAAAACAAACTAATTTGGCCCACCACCCCTGTAAAATGGGCAAGCGTCCTTGGGGAGGGCCTTTTCCCAGGATTTCCACCCCTTGAGAAAAGAGAAAAGTTTCCCCCATTCTAGTATATAAGACCTCTGTCTCCCTCCCTGCTTCTCTTTTGGGGTCCTGCACTCTATCTCTTCAAGTCTGCACCTTTTAATTTCTGCCTAATAAATCCAGTGCCTCTTAAAATAAAGAATTACAAGGGGCTGAGGATGTAGTTCAGGAAGAGAGCATATGCTTAGCATGCCAAGGCCCTGGAGTCAGTACCCAGCAAAACATACACGCACATGCACGCACACACACACACACACACACACACACACACACACACACTCACTTTGGGGAATCAAGGTACTTTCCTCCATCAGTTTGATAATCTCACCATTAATAAGACTCCCATGTAAGCCTGATACAGTGGTTTGTAAATTTCTCTTTGAGAATTATAGACCGTAGGACTAGACATGGGCAGAGGTGGAAGTTCTTAGCAAAGGGGAAGTATCTAGCAAAGTGCCGACTTCAGGCTACTCAAGTCATGAGCTGAAGAAATAAAGAAAGGAAAAGATGGGCAGGATGCCTACTTGGAAATGAAATAGAGTGTAAGTTGGGTGCTCTGTCCTAGAAAGGGGTATGTACCCTGGGCTGCCCTGTAGGAGGCTAGCTGCACAGGCTCAGTCGGCCTCTCCAGGCTTTTTCTGCATAGGCACGAGAGAGGAGCAACCAGAAGGCAGAAGAGGTCTAAGGAGTGGGGTGCCACTTACTGATGAGCAATACGGTCCCTAGTCTGCAGCCATGGTCGTCTCATCCGCTATGACCAACAATAATGTGACAGATACAGCAACTCAGCAAATGGCTAGAGGGTCGCAAGCCTGCTGGGTTATCTGGCCCGGGAATGCCACTGAACTTTTTAGAGTCACAGAAAGGCTAGAAATCTGCAGCTTGCAGCTTAGGTCAATTCAGCGACCCAGTGTACAGCTTTTTCCATTTGAAATCCGAGACAGCATCCATTGACCTGCTTAAAATTTGTCACCAGAAGCCAGATGTGCTGTTTCATGCCACCAGTCCTAGCACTCAGGAGGCATAGTCAGGAGGACTGGGAATTTGAGACCAGCTGGGATTACATAGAGAGCCCCAGGCCAGTCTGAACCCCAGAGGGAGACACCTCTCCCTCCCACCCCCAATCCTCGACTGGTCACAGGACTTCAGAATTTTCTGCTTAAATAGTGATCAGTGATTCTCTAACTAATCGTTCCTACTCACCAAAAATCCTAGACCTTAAATCATTCCTGAATTGAGATGGAGGTAAAGCTCAGTGGTATAGCTTATCATGGGTTCAGTTTCTTGCATTAAAAAAAAGATCTGAATTGCTACCTGTCTAAAGTTGCCAGATTTAGCAAGTAAAAATGCAGGTCATTCCATTAATTTTGAATTTCAGCTAAATAATGAATACTGAGCTGGGCATAGTGGCACATGCCTGTAATCCCAGGACTTTGGAGGCTGAGGCAGGAAGATTATTGTGAGTTTGAGGCCATCCTGAGCTACATAGTAAGTTCAAGCTCGCCTGAACTAGTGTCAAAAAAGGACCTGTTTTGAAAAAATGAACGCTTCTGTAGCATAGTCTGGTGCAGCTATTAATACACATTAACGACAAAGACAATATTTGGTATATACTTACATTTTTAAAATTGTTTCTCTAAGTTTCCAATTTAACTTGGCATCTTATATTGTATCTGGCAATCCTATGCTTGTCTAGTTTTCATTTTGTTTAATAGGCAGGGAAATGAAATGCAGTTAGGTCAAGGGATTTATCTAAAAGGACATACTTCTTCAGTGGCAGATTAGGGATCAGAATCCATTCAACTGTTGGCTGCATCCTTTTCCAAGTATCTTACTTCAGAGTTTCTTAATTTGGCTTCTTGA